ATGTATAAAATATGTAGTTATTATCTATCTACCAATTTATCTACCAACATTATCTACCTATCTATCCATCATCTATTTGTCTTCCAACATATCTATTATCCATCTACCAACATCTATCTACCAACATTATCTATCTACCAATTTATTCATCCATCTATCTATAAACATAGCTATCCTCTATCAGCATTATCTGTCTATAGATCTATCCTATCATTCTATCTATCTATATCTATCATGTCTATAATTCTTTCTATCTATCATTTCTATCCATTATTCTATCATTCTATCTATCTATCTCTCCTATCATTCTACCTATCCTGTTTATCATTCTATCCATCTATCTATCCTGTCTATCATTCTATCTATATCTATCATGTCTATCATTCTTTCTATCATTTCTATCCATTATTCTATCATTCTATCTATCTATCTCTCCTATCATTCTACCTATCCTGTTTATCATTCTATCCATCTATCAATCCTATCATTCTATCTATCTATCTCCATTCATTCCCTTTCTGCAGAGGAGACTGAGGTCGAGCCAGGTTGCGTGACTCAATTGCTGGTGGTCACATGGATAGGAAGTGTCTGAGGCAGGATTCAAGCTGAGATCTTCCTGAATCCCCGTCTAGCCATTATATTTCATAGTCTCCAATGGGAAACCTTCCAGTGTTATTATCAGGAAAATGCTTTGTAAATTGAAAAGCTATGAAACTGTGAGATCTTATTTTAACAATCCATTCAGATTCCCCACTTTATTTTGAACAGAAGTAAGAGTTCTGTAAGCATATGATATTTTGTGTATAACTTATATAAGTGGTGAGTAGGTTGTCTTTGTTATGTTTTTGGAAAGCTGAATTTTCCTGTAGAAATTGTTTAAAAAAAGAAAGAAAAAGACCTGTGCCTTTTAATAAGTAGTTCTTGATTTGGAAAAATTGTCCTTACTTTCTTTCCTTGGAATGGCTTCACCCTTGACATCTTAAATCAGTGTGAATTCCTTTGCCATTGCCCCATTTGGGAGAGAATATTATCTTCACTAGGTGAAGTTTAATTATCGTTATTATTATAATCATCATTGTCTTCATCATCATTGTTGTTGTTATATTATCATCTTCTTGTTCTCATCTTTTTTGATAAACTTAGGGTAAGAATGATTTGACAAAGACTTAATATTATTATTTTATATGGACTGGTGGATAAAATATCTGCTTTCTGTAACTGACTCTGAATATGGTGATGTAAACTCATTTTTATATAAATTCACTGAAGGCATTCTTTGGATTGTTCCAATAGTATAGAGGATGACAAGGATGATACTTACCTCATCCTACTCCCATATGGCTTTAACTTCTCCTGCTAAGTCTCTATGTTTTGAAAGCTTTTCCTTCTATTTAGTTAAGAGATTATGTGTGTTTGGGATAGCTACATCTGTTAAAAAAATCTTTCTTCAATTTTTGTGGATCACCGTTTTGTCTGGGCACTCATGAACAATGGTTCCCTCCTTGGTTATGCTAAGGTTGCAGTGATGTTTATTTGTTGAATTCTCACATACATTTTGAGGTTGGAGACTTGTTATTGGTTTGTTTATAATGAATAGTGAGCTTCTAATGTATGATTTTAGCTACCCGATCATGTCTTTCGAGGTAGTTCATAGATGCTAAACGTATGCAATCCCCAGCGATGATGTCGTTGTTACCATTACTGTCATCAGTTCTACTCTCATGCCTTATTTAAGTGTTACAAGTAAGGAAACTCAAACATTTTATATCCACATAGAAAACTTCAGTATTTACAATACCCCCTCAACACAATAATGTTTAGAATAAATGGTATAAAGTGTGGCATTTTCCAGAGACTCAGTTTAAGCTCACTGTATCTCTGCTTGGTCTTAAAACCACCCAGATAGAAGTATACATGGCTTCTAAATTAAAGGGAGGGAGTGTTGAACCAAAACAGAAATCTTACTAATCACTTGGTATGCATGGTTGGCGTCAAATTCTAAGGTTCTTCCAGAAAAGACAATTAATAGGTTCTTGATTGCATGGACCATCTCTCCAACTAAAACAAACTGTTATTTGGACTTGATAAGTACAAAATTGGGGCAGCTAGGTGGCACTGCAGTGGATAGAGTGCCAGGCCTGAAGTCAGGAAGACTCATTTTCCCGAGTTCAAATCCAGCCTCAGACAATTACTAGCTGTGTGACCCTGGGCAACTCACTTAACCCTGTTGGCCTCAGTTTGCTCATCTGTAAAATGAACTGGAGAAGGAAATGGCAAACCCTTCTAGTATCTTTGCCAAGAAAATTCCAAATGGGGAGAGTCAGACATGTCTGAAATGACTGAACAACAACAAGAAGTGTAAAATTCTCAACTAGAGGTTAAATCGAAACATTGGATGAAGGCTATACTTAAAAAAACCTTGGTGTCCTCCACATAAGATACATGAGCATAAAGGTATAAAGAAGGAAACTCTGGCTCAGTGTTAAGATACATACAGGCATCCTGAAATCAAAACTTAGCAGGAAGATTATATTTAAAGCAATTCACACTTATGCATTGCCAGACAATGCATACTTTCACTACTATAAAATGGAACATAACAGATTTAGATTTGGATAATATCATAACAAAAGCCTATACAATATTAACCAAACCCATAGCCCATCGTCTTAAGGTTTAGAAACATTAACACTTCCTTGCCAAGAAGGAGGAAGAGGATTGATAGCCATTCTCAGAGAATGTGGTAAACATGTCTTAAACCTACAGAAACACTTTTGGAACAGGCAAACAGTCACTGAGCTATAGGAAAGGCTGATACCAGGCACACATCAATGGATTTGCTGAATATGCCTCAAAGTAGTTTCCCTCTAGATGGAGCCTACGAAAAGAATGAGATTAAGAGTGAACTGAAGGGGGCAGCTAGGTGGCACAGTGGATAGAGCACCAGCCCTGAAATCAGGAGGACCTGAGTTCAAATCCGGCCTCACACCAAACACTTGACACTTACTAGCTGTGTGACCCTGGGTAAGTCACTTAACCCCAACTGCCTAAAAAAAAAAAAAAGAAAGAGTGGACTGATAAGGCCCTTCATGGGCAACATCCTCATGAGCTCTGCCAGCAATGTGTTAACAAAGAAGGGTCAAACAAATGTCCATCATGTGGACTTATTTGTGAAAAAAGAAGGGTTTTTCATGTCCATGCAGGACCTGGTCATCTCTACCAGAAATTGCAACAGGGTTATCCTTAAGGAGATGGGTCTTAATCTAATCAATGCAGATCATGTAAGGAAATGGTAGAAACTGTATTATTTTGCAACCTGTAAAAATATAGCATGTACCCAAAACCTAACAATATATGACCTGGTGGCCAGAATTATACATCAGAAGATGCTGTCTTTCATGGACTGACGGATGACAAATCCCCATAGTACAAATAGAGACTGCAAAACAATAATAGCTAGCTTTTATATAGCACCTTTAAGTTTGCAAAGAGCTTTACAAAGATCTCATTTGATCCTCACAATAACCCTCTGAGGCTGAGACTGTCATTATCTTCATTGTACAGATGAGTAAACTGAGATAAACAGAGGTGAAGTGACTTGCCCAGTGTCACACAGCTAGTAAGTGTCTGAGGCTAGAGTTGAACTTGGATCTTTCTGATTACAAGCCTAGTGTTCTATCTAGTGCACTGCCTAGCTGCCTGGAGAACTCAGCCCATAAACAAACCATCAAAGATCTGGAATATTACCATAGATCAAATTGTTACCCCTAGTTGTCTGAACATTATGGTGGTCCATAAAAACTTGAACAATGTTTTTTAGTCAATATCACCATAGTCTCCAAGTTGCCTTTAACAAAAAGAATCAAAATAGAGAAACTTGGAAAACAGAACATAACAGATTTGGAAAATATGGTAACAAAAACTTATACAATATTACGTAGTCCTATTGCCCATCACCCTAAGTAAGTTTTAGAAGCATTAACATTTCCTCACCAAGAAAGAGGAAGAAGATTGATAGACATTCTCAGAACACATGGTAAACATGTCTTAAACCTACAGAAATACTTTTGGAGAAAGCAGACAGTCATTTTGCTGAGTAATAGAAAATGTTCCCCCAATGGTACAGAATGAAGTCCAAGTCATTCTTGTCATCTGTCTTGTACTAGAGTTGTACTGAAGATTGCCTTCAGAGGATAAGCTGACATCATTATATTCTTATTTAATTACTAAAAGTTAGTATTTTAACAATCCCTGCCATAGTCTTTGATATGTTGCTTAAAGAAGAAAAGACATTTTCCAGGACTGCTTCTATCTGAACTTCAATGAACAAAATGAGAAGAACGCTTTTTCCATAATGGTAATAATGATGGCCATCACTTATGTAGCTCTCTCTGGGGTTTACAGGGCAGTTTACATGCATTCTTTTATCCGATCCTCATAATAGTTCTGTGATATTGCTACTGTTATTCCCATTGTACAGATGAAGAAACAGAGTCTGGGAAAGGTTAAAGGACTTGCCCAAGGTATCTCTTTCTCTCTCTCTCTCTCTCTCTCTCTCACACACATGCGCGCACACACACACACACACACACACACACACACACACACACACACCCCAATTGACTAAGGCAGGATTTGAACCCAAGTCTTCTTAACTTCCAAGTTCAGCACTCTCTCCAATTTGTCAGGCTGCCTTAAAATAAAATGGTTGGATTACATGATTCCTAAGGTCTTTTCCAGTTAGGAATAGCTAACCTTTCCTATAGCCTTTTAAGATTTGCAAAATGCTTTTACATAATTTTCTGACAACTTAATATGTGTTCCTTGACTTAGAATTGGGTAGAAATGGATGACAAGGAAGAAACATATAGGAAGCCCTGACTTACCATGTATAAGCTAGGCCGTACGGAGACAAAAAGATCCACACTAATCCTTGCCCTCAGGGAGTTTACACTATACATTCTAATTCTGCTTGTGTTTTTTTTTTTTTTCCCATGAAGGTGGAGTATGTATTTACTGACAAAACTGGAACCCTTACTGAAAACACCATGGAATTTATAGAATGTTGCATAGATGGGCACACGTATAAGGAGGAAACTGCAGAAACGGAGACATTCTCTGAAACTGATGGAATTCAGCCCGTTTCTGGAAGAGCAGAAAAGGTTGGTGATTTTGATTAAGTAGTTTTTCATTCATAATCACTACCTTGAGTGAATTTGAATGGATCTGCTGTTATACTCCCTCCAGTGATGCTAATAGTAGCCCATACATCAGTCCTCCATAGGGGATCCATCCTATATGATGTATAATGTAAAATGCTATGAAGGGTGGGAGTGGGAAAGGGAACCAAATAGCCTGAGCTTTGCTTAGTCCTGTGCTCTCTTAATCCTGGCCTTTTCCACTCCTACTAAACACCTCTAGAATGGCCTTCCAAAGGAGGCTTTAGAAGATTGGACTTTTTATTTAGGATCAGACATTAGAGCAGGAAAGGAGCTTGATTTTGTTAACAAAAAAAAAAAAAAAAAAAGCAAAAAATCTTTATTTTTTGTTCTTTTAAATGTCCACAAATGCACACATTTCTGTAAACAAAGAACAGAAAAAAAAAGATTATAAATGGAACAGCTAATCTCCTTTCAACACAGTTTCAGAGCTGTCGGTATCTCCTTCTGAACTTTCTTCTGTTCTCTTCTGGTCATTAAAAAAAATGCTTCAATGACCGTTTTTTTTTCCCTATCATTCTTACTAGCCCCTTTCTCTTTTCTCCTCCACAAATACCTTCTTCCCCAATAAAGAAAACTCCCTTCCAGCAAGAGAACTTTAAGGGGCATCTAGTCCTACCCCTTCATTTTACAGTTGGGGAAACCGAGGTCCAAGAGGGAGGAGGTATTGAAAGAAATGCTTGATTGTCACTCTGCTTGTCATTCACTAGATAATTTCCTTGAGGGAAGATCCTCTGGTCTGAATATTTAACCAACCAGATGCTTATTATGCCTAACTTCTTGGTCCCTTCTGAGGGAGACCCTCAGGCTGCCATTCATTTTAGGGTCTGATTGATTTACTTCTCCAGGATCATCAAATCTTGTTCTGCTCTGAAAGTGTTAACACACTACCTCGAGGTATTAGGACTTATAACCAGAGACTGCCAGGGCACTAGAAGGCTCTGCTTTGTTTAAGACATAATAACTTTCTGAATGGATAAAGTTCTGTTTACCTTCCAGGTCATATTTCTTGGGTTACAGTGAAATGCCCCCAAGCACCATGGGTGGAGCCCTTCTAGGCTTTCCTAGAGGGCATGATCTGGACCAGATTAGTAGAAGGAACTGCCCATATCCACTGAACTGTGCATATCAGTGGTATCAAACTCCTATGGAAATGGAGGCTTCAAATGTAGTTACCAAATTTAATGTTATCTATTGTAATTTTATTTATTTCATGGAGTATTTTCAAATTACATTTTAATCTGGCTTGGGTGTGTTGTAGCTGTAGGTGGCCTTTGGGCCACATGTCTGGTTTATATCACAGCCTCCTCCTCTGATGTCTTTTCTGTGCTCTTTAATTAGTTTTGTTCTTCAGAGAGCAGAGGTTGGAGCACCAGGTTGAAGTTGGGGAGAGGCAGACTTAGTTTTGTTTTTTGTTAGTTTTTTTTTTTTTACATTAAATTTTATTTTATTTTTGTTGTTGTTGTTTTTTTTTTTTTTTGAGTTCCAAATTCAGATTTAGTCTTGGTGAAAGAAAACCCTGTTTGAGACAGAGCAGTCCCAGAATGGACAGCTACCCTGAGGTAGGGTGTTCCCCAACATCGGGAAATCTTCAAGCAGAGGCTTGAGGCCTGCTTGTCCTAGATGTCATAGAGAGAATAAAAGGAAGAAAAATTCAATTAGACGACCTTTGAGTTCCCTTCTTATCTCAGGGACTCTGAGATTTTGTGATCTTCATTGACTAAAACTGAAACATTCTTGGTTATTTTTGCAATTGCAGAGTCGGGAACAGCTCTTTCTCCGTGCCCTGTGCCTGTGCCATACTGTGGAAACCCAAGTAAATGATGATGTTGACGGAATCGTCGAAGAGACTGAATTAACGTATATCTCCTCATCTCCTGATGAAATTGCTTTGGTAAAGGGGGCTAAGAAGTAAGCACAGTCTTTTATTTTTCTCCTGAGGAGGATTTTCTTTTTTGAGCTGCAAGAGATGGAGAAAAATGTGGGTTTATCTCTGTTCCAGTGTCTTTGTCTAGTGAATATGTTTACAAGTTAATACAGAATCAGAGTCAGATATTTAAGGGCTTATGAGGGAGTCTCTGACGTGAGCAATGAATATAAAATATTGATATAGGCTGGAGGCGGTGTGTCATAATGGATTAGGGGGCTGTCCTCTGAGTCAGGAACACTCTGATTCAACACTTTCCTCTGTGCATCCTGGAGAGGATGGATTATTTCATTCTTTGTCTTTCCATCTCTAGCACTCTGCACTATAGTAAGTATTTAATAAATGCTTCTTAATTAATTGCTAATGTTCCTGGGCAAATCACTTAACCTCTCGGTGCCCCAGGCAACTTTCTATGGCTACAAGTTGCAGAATACTTGCCAATCAGATTTGACAGAGGGAGTTTCCGTGCTTGGAGTTCCCCATACCAATTAGGAAGAAAGAAGACAGACATTTAGTAAGTACCTGCACTGTGCTAAGTACTTTACAAATATTATTTCAGTCAATCGTCACAGTATCCGTGGGAAGTAGGCGCTATTATTATCCTGATGTTACAGTTGAGGACACTGAGGCAGACAGAGGTTGAGTGACTGGCCTAGGTTCACACAGCTAGTAATTGTCTGAGGCCGGATTTGAACTCAGGTTTTCCTGACTGTGCCACCTAGCTGCTTCAATTAAATCACAGAGTCAGACAAAAATATGATCTTATACCACTGCTGTTGTTGCTTGTCCAATGGGAACCCCCGGAGCATTTACTTTATGTCAGTTATCATTTTAGGTGATAGAATATTAAACCTAAAAGAATGATAGGATATTGACTTGTCCTAGGGCCATTTCTACCAGATCTCCATCAGAGTGGATGAGAAAAATGCTAATAATGCTAGGAGCCAGGATGGCTTAGTGGATTCATGACCAACCATAGAGTCAGGTTCCAACCCTGTCCTGTGTGTGAGCCTGGGCACGTCACCTACCTTCACAGTGCTCGAGGTACTGTGGGTCTAAGACAGATCTTAACCAGGATCTAAGACACCTCTAAGGAGTCCATGGATAGATTTCAGTGGAAAAAACATGACATCTTTAGTATAATCATGTGTTTTATTCTATGTACTCAAAACCGTTTTTCTGAGAAAGCTTCCATGAACTTCACCAGACTGTCAGGGTGGGGTGGGGTTGGGGAGGAGGGGTCCAGGACACAGAAAAGAGCTAAGAATGCCTGCTTTTAGACTATCAGTTATAACTGTCAATCTGCTTTCATGGAGGAAGTTCTCCATATGGATGAAATCATAGGTCCAGACTTGATGATGCTGACAATGATAACTGGGACATATGGGAAATACCTTAAGTGTTGGTTTGCTCCCTTGCAGGTATGGATACACCTATTTGGGAATTAAGGATGGCCGCGTGAAATTGGAAAACCAACAAAATGAAATTGAAGAGTAAGTAGAGTTAATAACAGGTCTCATTTCCTTGGCACCTCAGTAAACAACCAGTGAATTCAGAAAAGACCACAAAGGAAGCTGGGTCCAAATTAAGAACAGAGGACTTCTTTGCCTTGATGGGCCTGGGCTCCATGAGTAGAAGGCTGACTTAGGTGACTTTCCTCCCCAATAATGGTAGTTATCTGGCATTGGTATGAAAATGAACACCATGGGTTCTCCTTGGCTAATGAGTTGAGCCTACTTAATGGAGTAGGTCAAAGTGACCTTCCTGCTGAGAGAGTGACAATGGTCTATAGCTCATACTGCTGGGTCAGCTTGCCCTGACCTCAGGACTACCCAGCCACCTTTGGATTATGGCCTTGGCCTTAATATATAATTTCAGACTTGCAGGAAGACATAAATTTTGCCTTTTTGTGGCCTATCATGTGTAGAAGATTTTATTTTTTGAGCTATAAGAGATTGGGAAAAATATGGGCTTCTCTCTGTTTTAGTGTTTTTGTGTAATGAAGATGTTTACAAATTAATGCGAAGTCAGAGTCAGACATTTAAGGGCTTATGAGGGAATCTCTGACGTAAGCAATGAATAAAAATATTGCCATAGCCTGGAGGCAGTGTGTCATAGTGAATTAGGGGGCTGTCTTCTGAGTCAGGAAGACATGGGAAAGAGCATGAGATCTGGTGTCAAAGGAACTGACTTCATATCTGTCCCTGCCATTTGTTTGCTGTGTAGTTTTGGTTAAGTGAGCAAGTCACTTAACATTTCTGGACCCTGGGTCTTTTTATTTAAGAATATGACTGGGTTGGACTGGGTGACTGCTAAAAGCCATTCCAGTTCCAAATTTATAATCTTATGAACACACCCTCTCAGCAGCACCATCTGGTGACAGCCGCCCCATCTTACAATGCCCAGGTCACAAGTAACATGGTCTAGAAAGCTGTCCCCATCCTCTGGTTAGAAGTGATGTCTCTGCCTCATCTGCTCTCAGAGCACTATATACTCTTTTTCATCATATATCCTATTGCCATTTGTATTATATTTATCAAAGACATAATCTCTCTCCGCCAAGTCAGTTAATGAGCATTTAATGAGCATTTAACTATGGGCCAATAGGGTAGTTGGGTGGCACAGTGAGTGGGTAGAATGCTGGGCCTGGAATCAGGAAGAGTCATTTTCTTGAGTTAAAATCTGGCCTCAGACACTTCCTAGCTGTGTGACCCTGGGGAAGTCACTTCAGCCTGTTTGCCTCAGTTTCCTCATCTGTCAAATGAGCTGGAGAAGGAAATGGCAAACCACTCCAGTATATCTCTGCCAAGGAAACTCCAAATAGAGTCATGCAGAGTCGAATATGACTGAAAAAATGGCTCAACAACAACAACAAAACAGGCCAAACATTGCTAAGTGCTGGGGATACAAAGGCAAGTTAAAAGATAGTTCCTGACCCCTCAAGGAGCTTAGCCAGATTGTTAGTTCCTTGAAGGGATTGTGGCCTGTTGTTCCCCATGTCCCCATGTCCCCAGTCCCTGAAGGACAGGGCTTTGCTTGTTGTAGGCAGTCAATACACGTTTGTTGAATGACTGAATGTTATGCCTTTTCATTGAAAAAAAAAATTCTCCTCCCCGCTGCCCCTCCCCCCAACACGTTATTTGGTTCTTTCCTAGTGTGGTTACAGTCTAGTCCCTATTCTTAGTGGAATTTAGGTTTTTCATTTTTTTCAATCTCTTTTTTCCTAAAGGTTCAAGCTTCTCCATACTTTACACTTTGATTCTTCCCGGAGACGTATGAGCGTGATTGTGAGAAATGCCCGAGGTATGTGTCGAAGAATTATGCTGCCGTTGGTGACAATGTCTGGCCATCATGTCGTGCTTTATGGCCCCCTAGCACCTCTCTTAACATTAGCTTATTTGAACTACACCGTACCCCTGAAAGAATATGACAGATATTAATCTTTCCATTTTGCAGATGGGAAAATTGAGGCTTAGGAAAGAAAGCTGAGAGTGAATCAATAAATGAAAAAGCAATTTTTTTTCTTAACAAAATTGGAGTTAAGTGCCTTGCCCAGGGTCACACAGCTAGTAAGTGTCAAGTGTTTGGTCTGAGGCCGAATTTGAACTCACGTTCTCCTGACTTCAGGGCCAGTGCTCTATCTACTGCGCCACCTAGCTGCCCCATGAAAAAGCAATTATTAAGTATTCCTTGAGTACCAAGCACTCCATTAAATGCTGGGAATGCAAATATAAAAGCTCCTTCAGGGAGCTTACATTCTAATTGGGGAAGACGTGTAGGAGAATGATATTCAGGGAGGGGTATTTCAATTTGGAAAGTTACTAGAATCATGAAGCTAGGCGTCATAAGATGGTGTACAGGTGCACCCTTTTCAGTAGCAATGGCGGTATTAATTTAATTATGGTTTGAGAGCTAGAAAGTGGAGAGAGTGAGAAGATGGTGGGGCTGGGAGGTGAGGCATAGAGGGAGCCTGCCTACATAGATTGGGCAATGTGAGGCACTCCCAATCAGGATAGCAGGGCCCCAGGGCAAGAGTTACAGAAATAAAAGGGTACTGTCTTCCAGATCATGGTTTAATGATGGCAGTGGAATGCACTAAAAGATGGTTGGGACTCAAAATTCATTTGATTAGTTCTCCTCATCTATTTTTATTTTTCATTTAAAAAGGTTTATAGCACCATTGAATTTTTCATAAAAGAAAAAGACCTTAATTACATTACTTATATTAATTTCTGATAAATATGAGCTCCCTGAGGACAGGCACTGTTGTTTGTTTTATTTTGTTTCTCTCTCTGTCAGTTCCTAGCATATTGCCTCTTACCTAGTAGGCATTTAATAAAGATGTGTTGAGTGGTACTGAATTATTAATAGCTCCACAGAGATTTTTTTTTTACCCTTTTCTCATCCGCATTTTCTGGTTCTTTATTCTAGGTGACATATTTCTTTTTTGTAAGGGAGCAGACTCCGCTGTTTTCCCCAGGGTGCAAAGGGACCAGATAGAACAGACTAAAGTCCATGTGGAACGCAATGCAATGGTAAGTGGTCCCTAAGGACAACTCGGTGAGGAGGTTTCCTCTTTAAACACATTTTGATTTGGTATTTATTGTACATCTTAGGTGTGGAGAGGGCAGTGTTAAGGGACATTTTCTTTTCCTTTTTTCTTTTTTTGAGAAACTCCTCTTGGTATAGTTTTCTAGTATGGCTTTATAGTGTTGGAGACTTGTCCAGACTCTGATAGTACAATATTTTCCTTCCCTTTCTCTGGAGTACTCAAATGCTGATAGCAACTCATCTATGCCTACCCATTCAATGTCATTCTTGTCCTTGTCATTTCATAAGTTTGCCATAGGGGATCCCTCATACATCCTGGGGTCCATTCTTTGCTTTCTCTTGACATCTTGAGGATAACAGCAGAGCAGATGGGCTGTCCAGTGGTTACCCCTCGATCTCCCCATAGGATCAGCCAATCTTTTCTTTTTTTTTCTCTCATACTTTTTTATGGCATTTATTACTTTGCTTGTTTTTCTTTTTTTATTCTTCATCATTTCTAGTTTTTTTACTCTTCATCATTTCTATATTGCATCATTTGCCAGGACTTTAACTCTCACAAAATGAACTATTTTGTATGCTAAAAATAAAAACCAGTTAGCTTTTATTTAAGATAGAATTTCCATTCATTGTCATGTGAATGGGTTGATGTCTATTGCATCTACATGGAAAGTCCAGAAGCATTTCAAAGGCCCTAAATTCGGCCTGTGCCCAGTACGGCAACCAGAGGCCACTTTGTTGTTTGCTTCCAGGATGGATATCGAACATTGTGTGTGGCCTACAAAGAATATACTCTTGAGGAATATCATGCAGTTGACCGGCAGATCCTTGAAGCCAAGATGGCTTTACAAGAGAGAGAAGAAAAGTTGGCAAAGGTTTTCGATGACATAGAGACTGACATGAATTTAATTGGATCTACTGCAGTAGAAGACAGGTAAATGAGAAAATGATACAGGACCCTGGTCAGGAGTGGTGGGTTCCAATTGTGGCTCTGCCAGTTATTCGTTGGGTGACCCTAGGCTTGTCCTGCTCTCTCCACTCAACAGTGGAGAATTTAGTCCATCCTAGTTCAGACACTCTCATTTTTTGCCTGGTCTCTTGCAATAGCTTCTTCATTTGTTTCCCTGACTCTGGTCTCTTCAATCTATTTACCACGCAGCTGCCAAACTGATATTCCTAAAACAGATCGAAACATATCATTCCCTTGCTCTGTTCCAGAATCTTCAGTGGCTCCTTATTACCTCTAGGATAAAACAGAAATTCCCGAGGCTTACATTTAAAGGTCCATACAATCTGGCCCCCACCTACCTTTTCAGACTTGATTCACGTTACTCCCTTTCTGACCCTCTCTGTTTCATGCAAACTAGTCCATTAACTGTTGCTAGTACACAACGTTCCAACTCTCACCTCCCTTGTCAGCAATGCATCTCCTCTTTACATCTACCCCTAGAGAATCCACATTTCCTTCAAACCCTAGGTCAGGTACTACTTCCTATACGAGGCCTCTCTTAATCTCCCTGGTTGTTAGCACTCTCTCCCTCTTGCACCATTCACCCCAGTAGAATGTAAATTGTTGTTGGTAGAGGTTTCAGTTTTTTCTTTGTATCCCCAGCACCTAGCACAGGCCTACCATATAAGGCCATTACCATATATGCACATACAGGCACACCATGTAGGCCCACTACCATGTATACCCACACGGGTCCACCATGTAGGCCCACTACCATGTATACCCACATGGGTCTACCATGTAGGCCCACTCCCATGTATACTCACATGGTTCTACCATGTAGGCCCGTTACCGTGTATACTCACATGGGCCCACCGTATAGGCCCATTACTATGTATGTTCACATGGGCATACCATGTACAAGTGCTTAATTAGCATTTCTTGAATTAAATTTAGCATCCCTGAGCCTCAGTTTCCTTCTATAAAATGAAGGAAGATTACAATTAAACTAGATATCCTTCAAGGGACTTTATACCTCTAATATTTTTATAGCAGCTCTTTTTTTTTCTTTTCTTTTTTTTTTTTTCTTTGACTTGCCCAGGGTCACACAGCTAGTGAGTATCATGTGTCTGAGGTCAGATTTGAACTCAGGTCCTGCTGACTCCAGGGTCCATGCTCTATCTACTGAGCCACCTAGCTGCCCCCTATATACCGCTAATACCCAATGGTTCCATGATACTCTAAGCTAGTCCAACCCGTACCTGATCAAGAATCAATCCCCTTTGTAAAGTGTAGCCTTGGCTTGAACACCTACAGTGAGAAGGATCCCACTTCCTCCCAAGGCAGGCCATTTCCTTAGCTAATAACAATGCAAGGCAATATAGGGGAAGCAACATTAGTGAGGTTCAAAAGTGCTCTAGGAATTCATGCTGGGTGGAGAGCTCACTTCAGGCCTGAGGAATCAGGAAGGCCTTCTTGGAAGCAGTGGCATTTGTAGATTGGAAAGCATTTATATGGATGTTGTTGGGGAAGGGCAGGACAGAAATAAGGAAGACTGATATTTTGATAGCATTTTAAAGTTTGCAAAATACTTTCTATACATTGTCCCAATGGAACTTCACAAACAGTCCTGTGAGATAGGTAAAATAGCTATGCTTATGCCTAGTTTACAGATGGGGATACAAATGAAGGCCCAGAGAGGTTCACTGAGTTGCTCAGGGTCACACAGACCTGTCAGCTTCAGAGGGAGGATTTCAGGCTGTGTCTCCCTGCCTTCAGATACTTCAGTGCCTCTCAGAATGGCACCAGCCCTTTAATACTTTTCCCAGACTAATGAAATGGAACAAGAGTTGTGTTCCCATGTTGACCACAGTTTTATATAACCTACTTAAGTCGCAGACGATTTTACTAAAGGTGACTTCAGTCCTCCCAAAGTGAGCCTCAAGCTTTGTGTTTATCCTGCCTCGGAGCTGACTTTTTAAACTCTTGGCTACCTTCACACTTTTCCCTCTTTCTTATTATAAGGCAGCCACATCAGCCCTTCCTATCCAAAATAGTCAATATTCAGAGCAGGCATGCGAATGGTTTTGAAATGTGATAAGCTTCATCATTTCATCCTGCTGAAGCTTAAGCAGAGCCCAAGTTACTCTCAGATATTAATCCTCATTTCAGGCTTTGAGGATTCTACCCTTAGGTGAGTAGGAGGTTCTATCCATTTTAATAAGATCCTCTTCATCTTCGAGGCAACCTGGCCAAGGAGAGAGAGGGGCAGGTCTTGGAGTCGGAGATTTGGGCGCAGGGCCTGCTTCTGACATGTACTAGCTGTCGGAAATGGAGCAAGCCAGAGGATCCAAGGTCTTTGAGCTGGATGGGCCCTTGGAAACTATCTGGTTCAATCTCTTCATTTTACAGAGGAGAAAACCGAGGCCCAGGGAGTGGGAGCCATTTACCCACAGGCAAAGGTCACACATAAGATCATAGATCTAGAATGGGAAAGGACTTCAGAGGCCAATAGTCAGTAAGCATTTAGTAAGCACCTACTATGTGTCAGGTGCTGTACTAAATAGTGGGGAATACAAGGAAAAGCATATGACAGTCCCTGCCCTCAAAGAGCTCACAATCTAATGGGGGAAGACAGCACATGAAAAAAAGTTGTGAAACGTATTGGGGGAGGTTACCCAGCATGGGAGCATAATGCAATCCTGCAGCCTGGAGGGGAAATCATCTGAGGCAGGTGGAGTTTCTGAGTTGATAACTTCTGACAGAAAGACTTTCTGGAGATCATGAAATCTATGAGGCCAGCCAGGTAGGAAATGATGAGGTGAATTCCTTGTTTGTCCTCCTGAAACAGACAGTCTGGGAGGAGTTCCCAGATATCTACCCTCCAGGAGGGACCCCAGGGACAGGGGGTGCTGAGGAGACTGTCTAGCCCTCATTTTACAGATGAGGACACTGAGGCCTAGGGTACAAGAGTGACTTGTCCAAGGTCATGCAGAATTGAGATTCAAACCAGTTCCTCTTGACTCAAGATCCAAAGTCCTTTCCCTCGTACCACACTGACCTTGATTCTTTTGCAGGGCTCCAGGCCAAAGTTCTGGAGCAGGAATGGACTTCAGAGGGCATGTGATCCTCTCATTTTACAGACTAGGAAACCAAGGCCAAGGGCCACACAGGTAGTAGCGAAAGTGAGAGGGTTTGAAGGTAGGGCCTCTGCCTCCTGAGTTAATTCTTATTCTACTGTATGCTCCCTCCATCAATCAACAAGCATTTATTAAGCACCTATTGTATGCCACGGATGCTATAGATTTCAGATAAGTTGCCAGTCTCTTGGTGGATGGAGTTTCAGAACTGGTAATATCTCACCCTTGTGAATTCACGGGTCTAAAACACCTCCTTCCCCAAACAAAACGACATTTTATTTAGCATTGTTTGTAACCCTGGGACCAAAGGGCTTCTTCAGAAGCTACCTAGTTGCTCTTCTTCTGCTCCCTATACTTGTAGTCTTGACATCCAGGATTATAGTTCACTTCAATCACCCTATTTTTACAACTCCCCCCAAAATTGTGATTCTCCGTCCTTCCTCATCATACACTTGAAGTGCTCTTCAAGGATATGGAAGTCACCAATCTCTGTTTTCTTTGATCAGATAGAAATGCAGGAGAGACTGAGCTAATGAAATGAGCTAAAATGGCAGCAAGATGGGCATTTGCTGAGTTTCCAAATATTTGAGTTAAGAGCAATGATTGTGTCTCCTAGTTTGGTTATACCATAGCATTTCACAAGGACTGTCCCTTAATTCTGGAATCCAAATAATTTGAATTTGCTTAATCAATAAATGGATGGTTTGTAGTGTTGTAAAGGGGTGTGTGTGTGTGTGTGTGTGTGTGTGTGTGTGTGTGTGTGTGTGTAGCGATACAAAGGAAGGAAACAAAACAAGGTACAGTCTCATGATAGGAAAAAAATGTGAATCACAAGGTTAAAATAAATTTTGTGAAATTGACATTGGGAATGACTCTGGAAATCTGGTGGGGGAAAATTTGTTGTTTTGTTTTTCCTTTTAGGCTTCAGGATCAAGCAGCTGAGACTATTGAAGCCTTGCACAAGGCAGGTATGAAAGTATGGGTGCTCACTGGGGATAAGATGGAGACTGCCAAGTCTACCTGCTATGCCTGCCGCCTCTTCCAGACCAACACTGAACTCTTGGAGCTGACCACTCGGACCATCGGAGATAGTGACAGAAAAGAAGATCATTTGCACGAACTGCTGGTTGACTACCATAAGAAGCTGCTATATGGATTCCCCAAACGTAGAAGCATCAGAAAGTAAGAAAGAGACTGGCAGATGGGCAACCACACTTCTGCTGCCAGTTTCATGTTCTCTTTGTTTGCTTTGTTTGTTTTTTCATCTTTCAGAGACCCATCCTAACTTGAGTAGCTCCCCTAATAACCCACCCGCCAGAGGTTGTGGGTCCCTCCCTATCCCATGTGAAAATACAGTCAATTTAGATTTTCATAAAGCTTAGAAAAGAAGCAAAATGTGTAAGTCATTATGCTTATCAGTATTCAGTGTCAATATTAAGAAAACAAAAGGGGTTTTTAAAACTGTTTTTATAGCTATTTTTAATTTATTTTATCCTAATGGAGGAATGGTTTGAGCAGGACCTAAAAGTGATTAAACAGATACAAATCAATGATTACACTTAAAAGAAAGTTTAACTGATGTCTTTTCTGTTTACAGTTATTTTCAGAAATTCTCTTTCCCCTATTGAACCCTTACTTCTTTTAGATTGAATAGTGGGGTAGAACCCACTGAGGCAGTAACCATGGTTGAGAGCATATGTCATTCTGCATCCATAGTCCCTCTGTAATGAGATGATGAAGATGTGTTTCGTTGTCCGTTCTCTAAGACCAAGATTGGTCATTATTGCTATTAAAAGCTTAGCTGCTTTTTGATATTATTTTCATTTACATCACTGTAGTCATTGTATGTACTGCTCTCTTGGTTCTACTTTCTTTACTCTGCATCAGTTCCCTCTGAATGTTTCAGTGTCTCTCTGGATTCCTCATGTTAGTCATTTCTTACAGCCCAACAACATTCCATTATGTACACATGTAACTTTGTTCAGTCATTCTTTAAATGGTGGCTGCTGAATTTATTGCTACCATGAGTAGTGTGGCTATAAACAGTTTGGTATAAATCAAACCTTTGTTTCTGACTGTGCCTTTGTGGTATATACCCATTACTGGGATTGCTGTGTCAAAGGGTATGAACTGTTTAACCACTCTTCTCAAATTATTCCAAATTGTTTTCTAGAATGGTTGGATCATCTGACAACTCCACCAACAGTATATTAACATGCCTATCTTCCCACATCCTCTTAGATATTGACTATTTGTATTTTTTGTTATCTTTGCCTTTGAGGAGTGTGAAGGGAAACCTCAGAGTTGTCCTAATTTGCATTTGTCTTAGTACTAGTGATTTGGAACAGTTGTTCATATGGTTGTTGTTACTATGCATTTCTTCTTTTTAAACAGTTTATGTTCTTTGACCACTTATCTACTGGGAAATGGCAATTGGCATTACCACACATTGAAGGGACTACTTAGAGTGGTCTCTTGAAATCCTAGGGTCCAGGGGGAAACCACTGTCTTATAAGAACTCAATGCAAATTTACTTATTTTCCTATTAGCCACATTTCACCAAGGATCAGGCTTTCCTAAATCACATCCTTCTTGGTTTAAGTTGGCCACTTTGTTTTATTTCCCTTGCTTTAATTCCTCTTGCATGGTCTCCACCCAATCCCAATAGCACTCTACCCATGATAGTGTCTCACTGAGTCTCACCTTTTGGCCACGTGTATATACATACGTGGGCTCCAAACCTTCCCTTTGGGTCTTTCAAAAATATATATGTAAAGTTTTCATAAACTCAAATATATTTTTCTTTTCTTTTGTTTTAGAGGGTGGGGAGAACACCAAGAATATGGATTGATAATTGATGGATCAACTTTGTCACTTATATTAAATTCTACCCAAGAGTCCACGTCAACTAATTACAAAAGCATCTTTATGCAAATCTGTATCAAGTGCACGGCTGTCCTCTGTTGCCGGATGGCCCCTCTACAGAAAGCACAGGTAATTATGACCAGGGAAACAGCCTTAACTCTTAGGGCCCTACATTGGTGGTAGAGTGGGAAAGAAGAGTTCAGATCTCACCTGGAAGATCCATATTTCTTCCCAGTTTTCCAATAGGAATTATGATCAGCACTCATCTCTCCCACTTTCAACTCTGCCTTTGAATGTGAACTTGAATAAATAAACTTTTTGCTTCACTCATCTGTCCTGTGTGGCTATGGTTCAATTTCTCTCCCTTCCTTTCATTGTCAGAACTTCTTAAATGAGTGACTTTTTCCTGCTGCTCCCCCTTTCCTTTCCACCCACTTATGACTCCATAACCTAGTATTTGTACTTTACCGAAACTCTACTTCCAAGGGACATCAGTGATCTCCTTCTTGCCCAATCCATTGGCCCTTTCTCTGCTTTTGTAACCCATTGACCTCTCTGCCCCATCTGATACTGCTGAAAATACCTTCCTTCCAGAAACACCCTCTTTTCCTGACTTCTAGTTCTTTCCTATCACCACCCCCCCACTTTTCCTTTTTCTTCATTATTGGCCCCTATGCCTTCCTCTCCTGCCCTCCGCCCCCAGATGTGGGCTTGCCCAAAGCTTAGTCAAGAGCACTGAATTTGGTGCCAAAGACTTGGAATCAAGTCAGGGCCCTGCCATTTCTGCCTTTGTGATCTCGGGCAAGTCACAATGTCTTTGGATCTCAGTTTTTCTAACCTATAAAATGAGGGGGTTGAAGTAGATGACCTCTGAGGTCCCTTCTGGCTGTAAGACCACAATCCTCTAATCCCCTCAATGGGGCTTATCCAATATCATGACTGTAATGATCGTCTTTGGGCAGGTGACACCGATTTATACTGGTGACCTCTCCTGTGGTCTGTGACCTTGTCTCTAACTGCAAACTTGGATGTCATGCTGTTATTCTGAGCTCATTGTTTCTATGACTGAATTCATAGTAGCCCCTAATTGTTCCCTAAACTGACTCCTCTTCTTGACTTCTCTTCCCCACCCACTGTCACCTCCTGGGACCAGTTGAAAGTCATCCTGACATCACCTTTCTCAGGATTCTTTCTTGCTCCTATCACATTCTCCCTTATATCATTTTTGTACATTTCATACCCCCCCCACCTCTTAGACTGTAAGAACATTGAGTTGAAAAGACCTTGCCATTTTTCACTTTTCTTACCCCCTGTGCCTTCCACATTGTAGGGAGGGGATTAAGAAATGTTTGTTGAATTGCATTCCTGTTAATGGTACCATCATCCTCTCCATCTCTCAGACTTGAAACTGCTTTTTGATTTCACCCCATAAATTCGGTCACAAAGTCTGTTGTTCCTTCCAGATGTTTTTTGTATTTGTCCCTTCTGCTATCTATTGCCTCTTCATTTTTACAGATAAGGAAACCAAAGTATAGAGAAGTATTGTGACTTGCCCAAGGTCATACAGCTAATAAGTAACAAAACTAGAATAATAATAATTATCTTTTATATAGCACTGGCTGAGATAAGTGTTTTGCAAATAAATCCTCATGATAACCCTGCTCGGTAGATATTATTATCTCCATTTTACAGTTGAGGAAACTAAGGCAGACAGAGATGAAGTGACCTGCCCAAGGTCATACAACTCTTTGGCTTCAAATTCATCTTTTTCCAGTGTACCCACTCACTTCATTCCCTCGTTAAGGCTAATCATTTTGCCCACATCCCATTCCCTCCTGCCTTCTCTAGACCGTTGTTTCTGTGTTCACATTTCTCCAGTCACTTAACTTCTGTTTTCCTCACTTCCTTTATCTGTAAAAATGGGGATCATACTGGCGCCTACCTTGTAGCATTGTTGTGAGAATCAAACAAGGTAATGATCATAAAATGCTTAGCACAGTGTCTGGCACATAGTAAACATTATATAAATATTATTATTATTTGTTATTATTGTATAATGTAGTCCCAGCCTCTCCATCCCCATCCTTTCCTCTCTAACAGCATAACAGTAACCCTCTGCTCTAGTCAAGCTGAGCCTCTGACTCTTTCTCAAATGTTCGTTGCATTCTTAACCCCTTGTTCTTAGAGTGACCACCCCCTTACTGTAGTCGTGGTTAGAGTGTTAGACCAAGAGTCAGGATGACCTGGGTATAAATCCTGTTTCAGATAGATATGCAATAGCTGTGTGACCTTGGGCAAATCATTTCACCACCTTTGGCCTCAGTTTCCTCATCTGTAAAATGAGAGCATGAGCCTCTCATTTTGCTTTTTCAAATCTGATTTTCAAGGTCAACTGAAATCCCTATTCCTCCATGAAGCCTTCCCTTCCCAGATCACTCTAGCCCATACTGACTTGTCGCTCCTGGAAACTCAGAGTGATTGTTGTCTAATTCACTCTTTCGTTAATTCATCATTACTCTCTTGAGACATATTCTCTATTGTTTTATTACTTAACACCTACATTTCAGTACTTTGCCAATGGGCCCATCAGAGCTTGAGATTCATAAACATCACCTTTGACAACCATGGGGCCACAATGACGCATTAAAAGAACTTCTATGGAGAAATCAACTCTTAAATGATTTGCGTTTTCACCTGTTTTGTCTTCAGATCCTGACTGAATCCAGTCACTCAATCAAGCATTTTATCAGACACCTTTTGTGTGGCTGCCACCATGCTTGGTGCTGAGACAAAAGTGGAAACAGCTTGCCCCTCGGAGCTTACTGTGTTAGCCAGGACAGATAGATAACACATACATATATAGGCATGTGTATGTGAGAGAGAGGGGAGTGTCCAGGAGGAGAAGGGGATTGACAGTGACAACTGCTGCCAAAAGGTCAAGAAGGATGAAGATTAGGAAAAGGTCATCAGCTTGGCAATTAAGAGATCATTGGTGAGTCTGGAAAGGGCATGTTTAGTTGAATGATGAGGCTCAAATACAAATTGTCAAGGATTTAGAAGAGAGCAAGAACATAGGAAGTAAAAATACTGGCTGGAGACAGCTTTTCTGTGGAGTTTGGCCGAGAAAGGGAGGAGCAGCGAGGTGGTGCAGTGGATAGAGCACAGGCCCTGGAGTCAGGAGGACCTGAGTTTAAATCTAGCCTTAGACACTTACTAGCTGTGTGACCCTGGGCAAGTCACTTAACCCCATTGCCTAGCCAAAACAAAAACAAAAAAAGAGAGAGAGAAAGGGAGGACAGATGTAGGATGATGTTAGGGTCCAATTAAGTCTCAAGGTAATTTACAATCAAGCAAAACCTCACATAAGCAGTGTTAACAACACATATTCCATAATAATATTCAACTTTAGTTCCAAAGTGCTATATGCCTTTCATTTCCAAACTAATTAATGTGTAGCCACCTTTTTAACAGGAATGGGGTTGAAGGGTGGGGGAGGAAAGACATGCACGTGTTTCTAAGCATCAAGGAAGGAGCCTGTAGATAGGGAGAGATGGAAGGGTGGGTAGAGAAAAAAGTGGGGAGGCTAATTGGGGGGGCAATCAAGAAGCAAAAGGATGAGCTCAAAGATCCTTATATAGGGGGTGGTAGCCTTGGCAAAGAGAAGAGTCACCCCTTCAATCAGAGACTCAAGTAAAGGGGGAAGGACGGAAGATGATGTTAAGAGGTTGTAGAAGGAAGAAAAGGGGGCAGGAAGGAGGAACTTGTGGCAAAGTAGAAAGGGAATAAATATTTATATGGCCCTATGTGTTGGGCACTTTGCTTAATACTTTACAAATATTGCTTCATCTGACCTTGACCACGACCCTTCGAGGTAGGCTTTGTTATTATTCCCATTTAACTAGAGAAACTGAGGCAGACTGAGGTCATGTGACATGTAAGTTTCTTCAGCGAGGGGACTTCACTCTCTTTTGTATTGTTATTTCTTTTTCACTGCCTAGCAAAGGGCCTTGCTCCTGGTAGCTGCTCTATATAAAGTCTTGGTAGATTGAATTGATTTGTATTTTAAAAGTGTCTTCTGGGCTTAAGAGAAGGTCCCTTACTGCTGGGGTTTGTGGATTCTGGGTTCCCTTGCCACAGCCTTGGTGATTTTTCTGACGTTGCGCTGCAGACAGAAAGTGCCCTAATCTTCTTAAGCCGTGCTCTCTCGTGGCAGTGGGAGTCCTTGATCTTTCCCATGCGTGTCTCTTGCCGCGATTTCTGGCTCCAATTTGTTTTGCTTTGGGCTATTGCCATAACTAGGCAAAGGATAGCAGGAGTTCTTAAGGAGGATTGTAAGCTGGCACAGACCCATTTTGTTTGAGTTGTTGAATTTTTTGGTCTGCTTCCCTCTTTGCCATGTTTCTATCATCTTGACCAGTTTAAAGGCCATTCTCCTTGTCAGAGAAGACAAACATAAAGGGAGGTAAAATAGGTCTGTTTCCTCTGCCACAATAATAATAATAATAATAACAATAACAATAATGATAATAACTAACATTGATATAACACCTACTATGTGCTAGGCACTTAACAAATATTCTCTCATTTGATCCTCGCAACAACCCTGGGAGGTAGGGACTATTGTTGTGCCCATTTTGCAGATGAGGAAACTGAGGCAGGCAGAGGTTAAGGGACTTGGCCAGGGTCACCCAGCTAGTGAATATCTGAGGCCGGATTTGACCTCAGAGCACTCTTGCCACTGCGCCACCAGCTGCTTCTAACTAGCTGTCATCTGCTAACATTTCATAATCTCTCCCTGAACAGGGTGGGCCTCCACTTCAACAGCTGTCAGAAGTTCTTTTAATATTTCAATCCCGTTCACCCCATCCTCTGCCCTGATCCTTAGTGACTTTAGTATTCTTGCTGAGGTCCTTTGTAAAATCAGCCTCTGCCAGCTTGCCACCTTTCATGGCCTCCTTCTCTGGTCACCCCCTGGGGTGGCTGTTCTTTCTGCCTCACCAGAGCCTAAAACTAGTCTGCCACTTTGATGGCAACTCTAAATTTCCCTCTGGTCACAGTCTCCTGTCCTTCCATATTATTCTTCCTGGACCTGTTCTTTGTCCTCGCTGTGAGCTCCAGACCTTCCATTCCTTTCCTGTTCTCTGAGTTCACTGCTGCTATTCAGGCCTTTTCAGGCAGCTGGTGGGGCAGTGTGGGTAGAGCACTGGGCTTGGAGTCAGGAAGATGTGACTTCAAATCCAGTCTTAGACACTCACTAGTTGAGGGATCCTGGGCAAGTCACATGACCTAAGTCTGCCTCGGTCTCTCCAATAAAATGGTAATAATAACAGCACCTACTTCAAAGAGTTGTGGTCAAGATCAAATGAAGCAATATTTATAAAGCACTAAGTAAAGTGACCAACACATAGTAGGTGCCATATAATTATTCCCTCTTCCCCTCCACCCGCTTCCCTCTCTTAGCCAACATAAGAAGACACCATCCTCCACTTTTGAATCCCTTGTTCCCTTATTCTTCCAATAATGAAACCTAGCTAATCCATGACTCTTTGTTACTTCTACCTTCTGCCTTCTCTGTTCCTCCTCCAAAGACATAGCATACTACCCTTGGTGGTTACAAAGCTGTGCTGCCTGGTATGGTACACACTATGTAACATCTTTTGGGCCCTCACCACAGCACGGCAACCCTTCTGTTCATTTCTTACCACTAGTAGTTCAAACATCTGGTGCAAGCCTTCAGCACTACATTGGTTATTAATGAACTTTTCAATGCTAAGCCTGATGGTCTTCCTCTTCCTTTTAAAAAACGTTGAACTGATGATATTTTCCCTTTTCCAGTCCTGCTTGCCTAGATCTTTAAAAGATCAGTGATAGTGACTCAGCAAATCACATATGCCAGTCTGTTCTGTACAGGCTTGTATTTTTTTTTTGACTTGAGGCCAGACTCTTCACTTAAGGACCTTAGAGTCTATTGAGTTCAACTCCCTCATTTTGCAGAGGAGGAAACTGAGGCACAGAGAGGTTAAGCAACTTACCCAAGGTCACAGCTGGTGAGTCTCTCAGGCAGGATTTGAACCCAGGTCTTCCCAACTCAAGGCCCAATCCATCAACAAGTGTTTATAATTTGCCAACTATATGCCAACTAAATCCAGTGTCCTATCCTGTACACCATTTTGCTGTCAAACTCAAATAGAAATGGATGGCTGTGGGCACATTGACTTAGAAAACCACAAATTAACATCATCTATGTTGTATTGCATTTTTAATTATTTTGTTAAACATTTCCCCAATACTTTTTAATTTGGTTCTGGCCAAAGGCCCCAGCCATAACTCTGCTCTCCAACAACTCTCCTCTTCACCTCCCTTGTTATTGTTGTTGTTGTTGTTGTTGTTGCTGTTGTTGTTTGTCCTGCGTTCTCGAAGAGTACCATGACATCAGGGGAGTGATGCCGTGACATGCAAGTGAATTGGATTTAAGTGAGAGAGGGCTGTCTTCACCTCCCTGCTAACCAATTTTTCTACTTTTTCCCATCCAATAATCAATTTTTTTGGAAAACAGAAGCTCCTCACTTTTATTGCTCCAAATTTGCCTTTAAAAAATTGTTCCTAATTATTTTTTTTTTGGTAAGTGTTCCCATTCATTGCCTCTGCTTTTCTCTCCTTTTATCCTGCCTCCAGAGCTCTCCACCAGCACTTGCTTACACTTTCTGGCTTGAAGATTTCCATTTAGGCACTTACCTTATTGATAGACTTTGCCCTTCTGGTACCCCATCTCTCAGAACTGTTTCTTTCAAAGAAGACATGCCCTTCCATTGTCATTTCAGTTGTAATTTTTATTCTACTACATTTCAGTGTAACTTTTGAAGTAGAATTTACCTTTTTGTTTTTGACTCATGTTCTTGGCTGGGATATATAGATGTACTCCATATAATGTTGCATTATAATCAATTTCCACCATAATTCTACAAAATCCCTCTGTAGTCTCCTCTGACTAGTCAACCAAGGCACAGATCACTTTGAAAATGATGACTCTTGCTAGCTGCCCCATAATGTTACTTTGCCTCTGTTTATATTTTCACAGATCTAATTAATTAGGTGGCATCTGTCTACAGATATCTCAGGCCACAAGTGTTGTTCCTAACCTTCTTCCCAGTCATCTTCCCCTGTGAATTATTTGCTACCTCTTTCAGTATTATTTTTCTTTTTTCCACATACCTGGACCTTTATAGCATCTGGTTTTACCATTTCATCTGAACATTTTTCTCTCTCCTCTATTTTCACTTTAAGACTGTCTTGATCAGATTGGTAAACATATCCTGCATTCTCCTGAGATATGCAGTAGGAGTCTCTCATTCCCCTACCTTATCCCATGGTCTAGAAAACCAGATTCTGTTCTATCGTGTTATTTATGTAGTCAGCTGTTCACTTCTCATATCCTATTTTCTCCTCCAAAGTCTGAACTTTCAATTAACAGAAGTGATGAAATCACTGGCTGTCTGAAGCTCAGAGCCATTTAAAAAACAGCAAGTGTCATGGAGTGGAGGGGTGGGGGGGGGCTGAATGGGGGGCTGGATGGGAGGCACACTTGTCAGTTCATGTTCACAGAGTTCATGTCTTAATTGTGATTGAATGGGGTTGTGTGTGCCACTTAGTATCAGTGAAGCTACTAAATTTGGGTCAAAATTAAGGTTGCAGCCAGTCTCAGCCCGGTACAAATGATTCCTTATTCCTCCAGATCTAGAGAAAACTGATTTCATTTCTATTAATCTGCTAGAGAAATCATGGAGACCAAGTCTTAAAAGTACCCTTTAGCTGCTGAGTTATTTCAACTAGTCAGAAATAACCAAACTTAGTAGTATTTGAGGAGGGGGTCCAGAATTCAGGCCCTTCCTATCGAAATCAGGGTTTGGCATCTTCTTAGAGGTGCCCTGCCATGTTGTCATTTGTTTTCTTCCCTGTGGGCAAGTGGTGAAAGAGGGATCTGGGGAACTGGGATATGGTCATTGCTTGCATGGGATGTCATTGTTGTTGCCTGAGGTAGACTCATAAACCTAATGCAGATTTGTTGGGCACTTACTGAGTGTGAGGTATTATGCTAGGTCCTATTGGAAACATCTTACAGACCATTTCCCAACAGACTTTGCAGTAAGCTGATCCAGAGAATGGGGGTGAGCCCATGGGAGGGACTCTTCTCCTGACTCCTTCCCCTATCTAACCCACCTTCATGTTTCCTTCTACAGCTTTGAAGAATTCCTTTTCTAAATGTAAATTGCCTTTGGGAGGGGTGATACTCTGAGAGATATCAAGTAGCTCCTTCATGCTTGTTAACAAAAATTGGTTTATAAGCCAGGTGAGAGGAAGAGCAGAGAATGTATACCTGAGTCAATCAGTTAATAAACATTTATTAAGTGTCCAAGAAAAGGAAACGGAGTCCCTGTGTTCAAGGAGCTCACTGTCTAACAGGGGAAATGGCTATCCAAACAACTATGTACGAACGAGATATAGAGAGAGTGAACTAGAGAGAAAGATAGAATTAAGGGTGATTGAGAAAGTCTTTCTGTTGAAGGTGGGATTTTTTTTTAAATTTATTTTTTAGGCAGTTGGGGTTAAGTGACTTGCCCAGAGTCACACAGCTAGTAAGTGTCAAGTGTTTGGTCTGAGGCCGGATTTGAATTCAGGTCCTCTTGACTTCAGGGCTGGTGCTTTATACATTGTGCCACCTAGCTGCCCCCGAAGATAGGATTTTTGCTGGGATTTGAAGGAAAATAGGAAGCAGAGACGAGGGGTGAGAGAATTCTAGGGTGAACGACAGCCAGGAAAAAGGCCCTGAGTTGGAGACAGAGTGTCCTATTTGAGGAATGGCAAGGAGACCAGTTTTAATGGATCACATAGTACTTGGGGGAGTAGAAGATGTAAGAACAATGGAAAGTAAGGGGAAGAGCAGGAGAACACCAAACAAAGGATTTTCTATTTGCTCCTGGATAGAGGTCTTGTCACTAGGAGTTGCATCTTCTGCTCCCCCAAGTACGACGTGATCCATTAACACTTTATTATTTTTGTCCCTCATCCCTAGAATGGCTATTCAAACAACTATGTATGAATGAAATATAGAGAGAGTGAACTGGAGAGAAAACTAGAATTAAGGGCGATTGAGAGTGTTTCCGTCGAAGGTAGGATTTTTGCTGGGACTTGAAGGGAAACAGGAAGTAGAGATGAGGGGAGAGAGACTTCTAGGGATGAGGGACAATTAATTACCCACAGGAGAAAAAGGACTTGCCTATTTCACAATTTTGGCCACAGTTGGCTCTCAGCTGACCTGTTCCAAATGATCTCGGATGCCACCTCTGGCCATGCAAGCCATAGGTTGCCTCTTATTAATCCAAAATCACACATTCAGATTTGGATTCTTCAGTGTGTGCTCTCCTTCCCTCTCTCCCTTCCCTGATATAGGTCATGACCCATCTATGTCTTCTCATCCTGGGTACTTCTTTTCTATATCCTCCTAAAGAGGAACTACCAGTGAGTTTTGTCTTTGCAATCCGTGAACTCAGTTACTGGCTCCCATGGAATTCTCCCATGGAGTTCCAATCTAATAAAAATGAATATTCTTCCAGTGATACAGTTCACAAACCATTCATGAAACCAAGAAAAAAACCCATCTGTACAGCAAGAAAAAGTGTTAATATCTATGCCAGATACAAGGTTTGGGGACTTGGACAGTTCTTACATACATAGAGCCAAGGATAGATTTCAGAGGGGCCTTTCTAGCCAACTTGAAAATCTACACCTGAAAATTAGAAATGGCCAGGTGTGGGCACAAACTACCCCTTTGTTGGGAGGCTCTTAGTTAACATGTGTAAAATGCAGGGCTGACGAATGTGGAAATATATTTAATATGATTGTACCTATATCATGTGATTGTACCTAATCATATTAATATGATTGTACCTCTAACCTATATCAGATTGCTTGCTATTTTGGAAATCAAAATCTTATAAAAGTGAATATTGAAAACTCTCTTTACGTGTAATTGGAAAAAAAGAAAATACTATTAAGCGGGGGGAAAGAAAAAAAGAAAATGTGGGTTTGCCCTTTATCTGTCTCTTCTATGTAATACTTTAGATCGTCAAAATGGTGAAGAATATTAAGGGCAGCCCAATCACTCTCTCCATTGGCGATGGTGCTAATGATGTTAGCATGATCCTGGAGTCCCATGTGGGAATAGGTAAGCTCTACCCTATATTCTCTCTGTTAAGCATTCCCACAATTACTTTTAATATCACTGACTCTGTGGAGTTTCTGGGGTAGAGGTCTTAAGTCATCACTAATTGAATTGGTGGTCTGCAACCTTGAAGGGGTGTTCAAACAAGTCTTAATTGATTTTTCTCCAGGAGATTGTGTGTTGGGGGGTGGGGTGGAGATGTATAGGAAGGGCCTGGCCTAACTGCCTGCAGGCTGCCTGCCCAGAAGCTGTCAGTAGAGGAGATGAAGAAAAACTGCCCCCATTTCCCAGTTTGGCCCAGAGTTGATGCTGGCTGGGGCCCTTAAAATCAACTGGAATATTTCACTGTAAGAGATACTCCTTCTGGCTCTGTTGGCTTTCATACGAGGAGGAAATGACATTAACCCAGCTGCTCCCTCCCCTTTGGCTGTCATATTTAGTGGGGATTCCTCAGAGATTTTTTGTATCACTTTCTCCATCTAAAAACAGACAAAAATTATTATAGTTTTTTTTGCATACAAATCCTTTGTTATTTTTATTTTCCTTGCAGTTCATGTAATAGTAATAATTCCTACTGTTTTTATTACTAATAATAACAATAATGATGATGACAACAATGTAAGACAGATTATGTAATGCTTTACCAAGTATTTCTCAAGCGACACCTCAGTTGATCCTTCCAACCCAGTGAGACTGGTAATACAAGCATTGTTATTCCCATTCAGAGATGAGGAAACTGAGTCTCTTGGTTGAGACTTGCCCAAATGGCAGAGCTAGGATTCCAACCCAGGCCTTCTGATGCCAAGGCTGGTTTTATTTTCTTTAAAAAAAATTTTTTAATCTGTTTATTGATGTCCTAAAGACTTCCCTCCTTACCCTAAGTAAAATTTCCCCTTATAACAAAGACAAATTTAAGCAAATCAAAGCAACACACTGACCATATGAGCCAGTCTATGTGTCAGTGCTCACCTACCACCCCTTTGCCCTGGAGGGCAGAAGGTGCCCTTTACCCAGTGCTCTATTCACTGCCCCATCCTGTGATGAGTGAGTAATAAGGTCGTTCCTATCCTTGCATTTGGCCTTAAGACTGAAGACCCCTTAGAGCTATAAGCTCTGGATAGCTCTCTCTGAGAAGGTCTAATGGAGTACTATAGACAAGAAGGTATTTAATTAATAATGCTTTCATTTTGATGACAAGGTTTTGATTTTTTTCATATCTAGGGATTCTCTGGCTTAGCTCTTCTCTTTTTTTGTCCCTCCCTCCATTCAGAAGCATTTACTAAGCACTTACCACTGGTAGAGATACAAAGGCAAAAATGAAAACCAGTCCCTGCCCTCAAGGGGCTTACATTCTAGGGGAGGATATAGTATATGCATAGCTAAGTCAAGGCAAAATTGAGGAAATTGGCAGAACTAGAAACTTGAGGATTTGTTGGGGGTAGTTTCCTATGGGAGGTGATGCCTGAGGTGAGCCTTGAAAGGAAAAAGAAGGATTCTAAAAGACAGGTGAGGAATTGTATATCCTATAATTAGTGCTTCTCAAGCTTTTTGGTGTCTTGACCTCTTCACAATCCTAAAAATTATTGAAGACTCCCCTGCGTACCTCTCGCCCCCCCCACAAAGTGATTTTGTTTATGTGAATCCACATAAATATCTATTGATATTTGCCATATTAGAAATGAAAACTAATAAATGGATAGAACACTGGACCAGGAGTCTGGAAGACCTCAGTTCAGATCTGATCTCAGACGCTTACTAGCTCAGTGATCCTGGACAAGTCACTTAACCTGTGTGTGCCTCAGATTCCTCACCTGTAAAATGGGCATAAGAATAGCACTCACTTCTGAAGATTAAAATGAGATAATATTGTAAAGTGCTTAGCACAGAGCCTGACACATAGTAGATGCTTATTAGATAGTTATCAAAATGAATTTTTAAAATATTTATTAATTCATTGAAAAGGACAATAATGAATCCCTTACATGTGAACATAAATAATGTATTTTTATGAAAACTATCTGTGTTTTAAAAAATTAGTGTGAAGAGTGGCATTGTTTTAATGTTCCTGAAAATCTCTAATGTCTGGCTTAATAAAAGAACACAGCTGGATTCTCATAATCTGCTTTTGCAGTCATTCTGTTACAATATGTTTTGGTTGAAGTATGTGAAGAGAATTTGAAGTATGTGAAGAGAATTAGTTGTAAAATGGAGGAGTATTTTAATAGGCAAATAAAGTCTTGGTATCATGAAAATCTGGAGAAGGAAACAGCAAATCACTCTAGTATCTTTGCCAAAAAAAAAAAAAAACCACCATGTACAGTATGGTCCGTGGATTAGAGTTGGACATGATTGAATAACTGAACAACAATAATAATGAAAATAGTTTTTACCTTCTGGATCCCCTTAAAATGTCTTGGGGACCCTCAGGGATCCTTGGACCACACTTTTAAGACTGCTGGTCTAGTGGGAAGGGTCCTGGACCAGGGCAGGGTTTAAGTTTTAGGTGCCAGCATGGGCAGATCCATAACTCCAAGAGCTCACAGATAGATTCCCTCCCAACTCCTTAGGTGAGCTCAGGCTTCTTCTCCCTTCCACCCCAGAGTGTCACCTCTCTGAGCCTCAGTTTTCTCATCTGAGAAATGGAGTTAATAACCTTGAACCAACAACCTCACTAGGTTGTGGTGTAGAATAAGAACTTGAATGTATTCTATCAGTGTGAGCTGTGGTTGTTGACAGTTTGTTATTTCTTGAGGTGACCCGACTCATCAAATAAATTATTTTCTTTGGTTTTACATCATGTTAGACGCACGTAGTTAAAAACAAATTAACTGAGCTCACGGCTTTCCTGGTTAGTTTCCATGCCGTTAATCAATCATGAGATCAGACAAAGAAGGGATGCAAAGAAGAAGCTAAATTCGGAAACAAGGGCATAAAATGTGGCCATTGATTTTGACATAATAAATGCCCAAATCAATAGCTTGATGTTCTGCAGAATATTTACTGCGTGGCAATCACCTGTTGTTGTTTTTTAAAGGCATCAAAGGCAAAGAAGGTCGCCAGGCTGCAAGAAACAGTGATTACGCGGTTCCCAAATTTAAGCACTTAAGGAAACTGCTGCTGGCCCATGGACATTTATACTACGTGAGAATTGCACACCTGGTGCAGTATTTCTTCTATAAGGTATGTGGGCAGGTGTTTGTCATTTATCTGGACATGTTTAGAGCACCTTTATCTTTTGGGCCGGGCAGAGGTTTCACTCAAAATATATTTCGGCTGCCTACATCTGTTAAGTATAGGCTGTTTGCACTTTTTACTGGACTCATTACTCAGCTTTGCAATAACAAATGATGTTCAGTGGGGTTCACTAATGGAGCAGAAGCCAGAGATTGGACATTCAGTTTGTTTATAGTGTTACTAGCAAGCAATCCAAGCTATTCTCCTTTATCCTGTTTAGACCTTATCTCCATCATGGCAGACATTGGGGCGGGGGGAGGGAGGAATTCAGCAAATTCACATACTAGAGTAACTCAAGAAGAGACTTAATAAATGTTTGCCAAGTGATCCATCAATCTGCCCATTTAAATAGCACCTTTGTGTGTTGATCACAGGTATCCGTGCCCCCAAATTCTGACTGATCTCATTGCTCTGCTGCAAAATTCAAGGTGTACCGCTCTGACACTCTGATGGTTTTAATCATAATAGACAAATGATTAACCTTGAGAATATCGGTGTAAACAGGGCTCTAATTCATGAATATGGTCATTTTTCTTCTCTGGATAGACAGGAGGTGGTGCTCTGGCCAACATAAATCGTGCTGCCTGGTCTTTTGTCTTCCCCTAGCAGCAAACAAAACAAGAGAATTGATAGCATTGGTGGAGAAATGAAAAAAGATTGTGTCCCTCGAGAAAGAGTTTGAGGGAAAAACATCGTTGCATTGCGCACCTTGGTTTTTCGTTTTTTTTTTTTTTTGTTGTTGTTGTTGTTGACTCTTAATAACATAAAAATGGCTATATTGGGTCATACTCATGGGCCATTATTCTGACTCTGACCATGGTCCTGAAGGCCATATTTGGTGCGTATGGTACCTGACTGACCTCTCTGCTGCACAAGGAAATGGGTCAGAGCTGTACTCTTGTGATATTTTTGTCCCTGAAAATAGGATTGAATTGACTAGGGTTGGAACTTTGGCCAGCCATCCAAGTCTTGGTACCATGAAGTACCAAGTAGTTGTGTGGTAGTGCTCTGTTGTAGGGCCCAGAATTAAGAGCTAAAGTTCTTTCTCTTCAGGAAGAGATGAAAGAGAATATCTCTGTTCAAATCTATTAATTTGTTATTTAGTCTGAGCCTGAATTTTATTGGTTTTGGGCAGTAGTCAAAATGAAAGGAGGCCCATATTGACTTAGAAAACCACACATTAACATTATCTATGCCATATTGTGTTTTTATTTATTTTGTTAAACATTATCCAATGACATTTTAATCTAGTCCCGGAGTCATAAGTTTAGTGAGGTCCCAGTGCAGAGCAGTACCTGTTCTGCAACTCAGGGTTTTTGGGAGTCACCTGGGGGCCCTGAGAGGTTAAGTGACTTGACTCTAAGGTCATATAGCCAGCATGTGTCGGAGGTGAGACTTGAGCCCAGGTCTTCCTGACTCCAAGGCTGACTCTCTATCCTTTGTGCCAAAATATAGGACTACTTATTTAAAATAAAAAATTGGCTTGTTGGGGCAGCTTGGTGGTGCAGTGGATAGAGCACTGGCCCTGAAGTCAGGAGGACCTGAGTTCAAATCCGGCCTCAGACCAAACACTTGACACCTATTAGCTGTGTGACCCTGGGCAAGTCACTTAACCCCAATTGCCTTTAAAAAAAAATAAATGAATCATTAAAAAAATTGTCTTGTCAGCTACCTGCTTTAAGAAAAGAGGAAACTTAGATATGCCAAATGGACAAGTCAGAATGCAACACGCCTAGCCCCAGTAACATCCTCCTCTGATGCCTCATCATGACTGTAGGTTGTTCCAATTGACTATATATGTCAAAACTGGGCAGGATTCCTAGAAAGATAAAATAGCGGAGATATCCTTGTTTGATGGTGCTCTGGTCATTAATATCAAGAGAGGCGTACAATGGGGAGGTATATATGGAGGATCGATCTCCAGCATCAAAGAAGGTGTTCCCATGGATGGTCAAGCACCTTGGGGGCCCCACCCCCATCTGCTTGTGTTTGACATGATGCTGATCACATCAGACCTTGGAACATTGCCGAGCCTCCTGAATGAGTTCCATAGGCACTCCAAATTTTTTAGCTTAGCTGTCCACACAAGACAAAGAAAGGGCATAAAAAATGCCTATTGCCTACAGTATGATGCATAGTTTGTCCATCAGTTAACGTGTCTTGGACAGACACCACAAATGAATGGAATAGGAGTAAGAGAGTGTGATGGGTTGCCTTTGGGCAACTGAAAGTTCTTTTAATAACCTCAGCCTTCTCCATGAAACTGAGGCCCACCTTTTTAATGCCAGTATTCTTCTGGTAATATTGTATGACCATTAAGTTGTGAAACACTGCATTCTCATACCTGCCATGCTTCTGTCTGTTGTCAATTGGATGAGGGATCCTCGACATCACTTTTTCAAAGACTCTTATCCTCAGGAAGCACAAGGAGAACCAGTCACAGATATTACCAGAGAAATATTTACTTCAAAAATCAAATGGCCTGGTCACATGGACAGTCAGGGAGAATGAAGACTAGTGAGGTGAACTTATGGGAGTTCACAGATGAGAGGCCCACAGGATGAGCAGGTGAGGATGGATTGTGATCTGGATCATTGGAAGGAATACCCATATTAATGAAAATATTAAAAGATAGACTGAGTGAAATATTGGAATAAGTGTGTGTGTCCTACATATTCACGCACATGTATGTTCTTGTGTCTATCTATGTGTATCTATCTATTTTGCCCACCTCCCTAATTTCTCTCTGTCTCTGATCTATACATCACCTTCCTACTGATCTATCTCAATCTCACGCTATCGCAATATCTATTATCTCTATCTCACCTACCTCCCTATCTAATTTACGTATGTCACTCTCATCTATATCATCTTTCTACCTACCTATTTCAATTCCCACCCCACCCCCCCTCAAGGTATAGGCACTGAACATATGATTTCCTTAATAAAGAAAACTACCAGGAAGCTCCCTCTGCCAGTGCAGGTCAGCACCTTCTCTGCAATTTCTAGTCTTAGGTTGCTGCCTAGACTACTCAGAGTGTAAGTGATTTGCCCAGGGTCACCCTGACAGGATATGTCGGAGGTAGGACTTGAACCCAGGTCTCCACAATGCCATATATTTGGGCATTTTGTGTATTTCAGTAATGTTGCCTAAAACAATTTTGAGACTACTTTTTGGGAATTATCTTAAAACCTACAGTATATCCTGTTACTACTACCCTTGTTTGTGGTCAATCCAAAGATTTGAGAATGGATGCCATTCTTTGAAAACTACAGGAAATTTGAAACAAAGTTCAGAGAAGATTGTTTGGTTAGTCTGGGGAATAGTATTAGTATTGATTTGGAAAATCAGAGTATCGAGTGTTACTCTAATCAGAGCCATGGGACATACTTAAGGGTAATGGAGCTGCCTTTACCTGACTGGTGAAGGTGAGTACCCCAGCCCTCGTCTCTCCCAGTCACTGGATCTAAAGTCTTCCTCCCCCTGGAACCCACTGCCTGGCCTGGAGGCCATTACTGCTTTGTCCTTTGTCTCTGCAACTCTGCAGCCATCCCTTCTCATCGTGTGCCCAGTGAGTCAGAGCTGCTGCTGACACCTGGCCTCTTGTGTTCAGCATCATTGGATCTCAACTAGTAGGGCTTCGATGGAATTTGGAAATCTCCTGTCACCAGAACCTGGTATTAATTGCTCTCTCCTATTTCACCAAGTGATCCAAATTTTAGAGGGGCTCCCCAGAACGACTGCCAACACCCTTCAGTGACTTAACCAACATGCACATTTGCAAATCACTTTAACCTGGGCACCCAGGTATCTGGCCTCTTGCCACCAAGACTAAAAACTCAGACTACAGGCTTCTCCCTACCACGAATCTCATCCAAGACCAGGCCCTCAGATCCCAGGCTGGACCAGGAATCAAGGACATGTTCTCCTTTCTGGGGCACTGAAAAGTAAGGTGACTTGGTCACACAACTAATATGTCAGAGGCTGAATTTGACCCCGGATCTTCCTAACTCCAAGTTCATGAACCCTCTACCCTCCCTCTCAGGCACTATAATCAATGGGTTAATGAGAGCAGTAAAACATCAGGGTGAAAATCACAGTGTCCAAAAGACTTAACCTCACTTCAATTCCTTGGTTTTGGCACTAACATCTCCATTTGCAATCCATACCTTTTATAGTGATTTGTAGCGTCTAGTGCCATTTTCCTATGATCAGAGAATGCCCAGTAGTGCTATTTTTTGTGTTATAAACCCATTTCTTCCCTAGAATGTAAACAGGATTTAGTCTGAATGAAGCAAGACCACTCTTAGAGAGAGTATTGTAATGGACTGAGTGCTGGACTCAGAGTAAGGAAGATTCAGAGTTATACTTTCCCCATTGCGGTTTTGATATATTGCGGGTTGGCGTAAGAAATTAAATAGGCATTTTTGGGGCGTTTTGCATAAACCTCAGACAACATGCTGCATGGTGGCACAGAAAAAGTTTAGAAACTCAGAAATGCATAAAATATATGAATAATATTATATAATATCAACATTTTATCTTTTGATGCCGTAATTCAGATTTCTTCTCTGGTATGAAGGGAGGACCAAGCAATTTTAGGTAGATTTTCCAGGTTGGCATGGGGGGAGGGCACTGTGCCCCTAACCCCTACCATGTGGAAGGGATAACTGTATTTGAAATCTGCCTCTTGACACTTTGTAGCTGTATGACCACGGAGAAATCACTTAACCCCTGGGCCACGGGCATCTCTCCAAAATAATGTCAGGAGATATATTATTGTCATACATTTGTAGCAACCTGACTAATTGAAAAGAAGTCACCAACCTTTGGCCTTTTGAGAAGCTCCACTGAAATCTGGAAGCTGGTTTGATTGTGGATTTGCTTCTTGCTATCAAACTGTTTCAGTGTGATACTGTTAAAATATTGAATATGGGGACTAGAGATGGTTCGTAGGCCTAGAGATCAAACAGAAAGAGGGCGAATGCTTCTCTCCTCACTCAATTTTTAATTTTGTTTTTCAGAACCTCTGTTTCATTCTACCGCAATTTTTGTACCAGTTCTTCTGTGGCTTCTCCCAACAGGTATATTTCAGTATCGCCTTGCGTGGCATGTACTTTCCAGACTGTCCGTTAGTTGATCGTATGTTACTTGCAATGAAAATGTCAAACGAGGCTTGCCCTCTCAACACCCCTCATGACCTCAACTCTTATGAATGTCGTTGTTTATTAGCCGTAAAGTTTGAAAAGTTGTCATTTTCTGCATGATTTCTGGTATCAGCAAATGTTGCTATCTTTGCTCCAGTAACTTCCTTTGCAGTCAAGCCTCATTTTTGACAGTTGTTTGATATACCCAGTAGGAGGTAAGACAGTTATTTTGATTGCTTTCCTTCTCACCCTTCCATAATTTGTGATACTGAAAACCCAAATTAAAAACATGCTCTGGTAATCCTAATACTTTACAGTTGAATGCTGCATTAAATCCAATCCCACCTAGCCACTGCTTCTTGTTTGGACTGCCTTGGGGAACATGTCACTGGGGATAATTCTCCACTGAAGGGATTCGCACTGAGTTCATCTTCAGTCTTGTTTCCCACTCAATTCAATTCAATTCAACTAGCATCTGTTAAACATCCATTATGTGGCTGGTGCTATTCTGGGGAATACAAAGACCAGAAAAAAAAGTCTCTGCCCTCGAAGAGCTTCCACCCTAACTGTAGTTCTCAGATAAACACTTATCTTAAGGTACTTTGAATTTTCTAACCTTCAGTTGTTATTATTTTTTTCACCTTTAATGATAGCTCAAAATAATATGCCCCTGTGGTAGCTATATTTTGGCTACATCCACAATGGGGAAAGGAAAGGCAAATTTGTAGGTTGGTTAAACCACTGAAGAGTGTTGACAGTAGTCTTAATAGCCCTACTAAGGCTCAGAGGCCTATCTATGCCTACTTCAGTGGTTCTGGCAAGGATCCCTGCAATGTTGCCATGGACATCTGAAAAAACGTCCACCTTTCCAAGATGAATGTTATTTTTCCTGCTTCCTTATGGTAGGAACTTATGGTTTTTCTAGTTCCTTGGCAGGTTGTTATTGTTGTTGTTGTTTACGGAAACTTATAGGATCATAGGATTGAGAGCTAGGCCTCAGGTCAATTCTACCCTCTCCCTTCTACAGAGGAGGAAACCGAGGCCAATGCAACATGATTTCCTTGTAAATCTGCTTCCTTGCCATTGCAGCTGGTGCTTTTCCAGTTGCCATATCATCAGCCCCATGGCATCAGCTGAGTCACACACCTAAATAGCTGTTGGCAGTGTCATGACTTATTGTATGTGGTGCCCCTGCCATCCCCCACCAGCTAGCTGCAGAGAGCAGTATCTGTTCTGGTGGCTGCGAACCAAGACCTTGAGCATTTCAGCTTTCCTCCTTTGAGGATATCTTGACTAACACAAAAGAGGCTCTGGATGAAAACCTTAGGGATCATTTTAAGTGACCCTCTTTAGCTATCATACAGCAAAAGGCCACAGGGAAATGGGTTGATTTGGAACTTGGGGAGAACTTGCATTGTTTCTCTACCTCCTTCCTTCCTTCCCTCCTCCCATACCCAAAGCAAAGATAGGGGATCTCACCTTGGGTCTTAAAATGAGATGATGGGGCAGCTAGGTGGCGTAGTGGATGGAGCACCAGCCCTGGAGATCAGGAACACCTGAGTTCAAATCTGGCCTCAGACACTTGACACTTACTAGTTATGTGACCCTGGGCAAGTCACTTAACGCCCCCCCCCATTGCCTCACCAAACAAACAAACAAAAAATGGAATGATTATATTTTGCATTGACTTATCTGTGTACATATAGTTTCCCTGGAGTATAATATAAGCTCCCCACGGGCAGGGAGTGTTTTATGCTTTAGTTTTGTATCCCTAGCCCAGTGTTGAGCTCAGGTGTTCTTAGGTTGTAAATGGAACCTAGGCAAAATGAGAATTGTGCAGGGTGGGGATTCAGTCCAGAGTTTTGATTCTTTTGAAGAGCATTGATTTCTACCACTTTGGAAGCTTTCACAAGGCTTTTTTTTTCCTCAGCTAGATTCAGTTCAGTTTCACAAACATATATTAAGCTCCCACAGTATGTCACGTGAGAGGCATAGGAATTGAGAGAATGGGCCTTGGAAGGCCATTTCAGGAAGATCTTGATTCAAATCCTGCCACTAGCTGGGTGACCCTGAGCCGCGACTTAACCTCTCAGTGCTCTAGGCTGCTTTCTAAGACTATAAATTGGGGGTAGAGGTAGTTTTCTCATCTAGATGTTTCCTCATTCCAGTATCAATGTAATCGCATGACCTATCTATATCAAGGAAGGCAAAGCTCCAGTCTCTATCCTTAGGTGTCAGGCATTTGTGTTCAAGATACAGAGCCCCAAATGGGACAATTCCTGCCCTCATGGAACTTACATTTTAATGGTTAAAGTCTGCTAAAGAATTTTGGTGGATTTTAAATTTAAAGAATTTTCATTTTAATTCCTGCATTTAATAGTCAGTCCTCCTGACTGATCTATTTGCTAGTTTCTAGGCGGGTCTGGCTAGCCTAATTCATGTTCATTTCTTGGCGTGCTGTCTTCTATTAGTGGGGAAAACATAATTATTGCTTCTTGTAGTTGAGGGAGATTCAGGGCTAACTTCCCCCACTAAACAGTCAATTAGAGCCCTAGTTTTCAATTTAGTGTTTAGGGAAAATTAACAGTTTCCATAGAAACCATCTCCTTCCATGTCTCAGAATGATCCCCCCTGGAGAATTCCTAGGTGTGCAGCGTCCCCTCAGAGCCCAGCACTCCGACACGCTTTGGCGTAGTTACCACATTAAAAACGATTGCCCAGAAGGCTGCTTAGGATGAAGGGCCTCTATTTTCTCCATAGGCTTGTATTCTTAATTCCCACTGAGAATATTACAGGCCTGCATATAATCATGTGTGCTGCCTGGCAGTTCTTCCTAATATTGCCACTTGAGTATCTTGTCACCTCTTCAAGCAAAACACAGGAGAGGGGGGAAAAAAAAACCCCAATACTCCTTCCTTCCCTTCTCCAGATCCTGGCTGCCTTCCCACGGTTTCTGACACTGTGAGCAACGCTGCCATCTGCCTGGGAGCTGAGGCTGGGGATCCTGGAATGAGCCTGGCCTTCCTCCCTTTCTGTCTTCCAGTTTAGGCAGTCCCTAAAAGTCCGCTCCTTTCCCCTCTCGTGTTGCCAAAAGTCACTGTTCAGGGTTGATCCCAGTAAAAGGTGTTAAGTCTTGGCAATGGTTATCTGTTGCCCTTCTCTCCTGCATCCTCAGAATCTCTGCCTCCCAAAGCTTTCCCATCTAGTCTTCTGGTCTATGTGTTCACTGGGAATCCCTCCTTCCTTCCTTTCTAGGCTTGGTTCACAAGCTATCTCTTGTACTTGGCCTATCAGGATCTCCCCCCCCCCCTTATTAGTGATTCTCTGTCCACACCCAACCACCCCAAGTAAATTGCTTTGTGTATATTTGGTGTTTACTTATCTGAACAAAAACTCCTTGAGGGCAGGAACTGTTGGGGGTGGGGTTTATTTTTTCCTTGTATCCCCAGTGCCTAACAACATAGTGGACCCTTGATAAACATTTATTGAATGAATAGATCTGTGTTGAATTGAATTGAGTTGAATCGTCAATCCAAAACAGTCTTGTGACTGGCTTCTTTGGCTTTATCATTCTGTCCTGTGCCTTCCTTGGACATCTTGTGCCAGATTGTTTGGTCATAGCCTCCATCATAGGTCACTTCATTGTTCTGTAAGGTCGTAGCCTCCATCATAGGTCACTTCATTGTTCTGTGAGGTCGT